CTGCTACAGTTTAAAACAATCACAACCACTCGGCTACATATTAAAACAATCACCACCACGCTGCTACAGTTTAAAACAATCACCACCACTCTGCTACATATTAAAACAATCACCACCACTCTGCTACAGTTTAAAACAATCACCACCACTCTGCTAAATATTAAAACAATCACCACCACTCGGCTACAAATTAAAACAATCACCACCACTCTGCTACATATTAAAACAATCACCACCACTCTGCTAAATATTAAAACAATCACCACCACTCGGCTACAAATTAAAACAATCACCACCACTCGGCTACAAATTAAAACAATCACCACCACTAGGCTACATATTAAAACAATCACCAACACTCTGCTACAGATTAAAACAATCACCACCACTCGGCTACAAATTAAAACAATCACCACCACTCGGCTACATATTAAAACAATCACCACCACTCTGCTACATATTAAAACAATCACCACCACTCTGTTACAGTTTAAAACAATCACCACCACTCGGCTACATATTAAAACAATCACCACTACTCTGCTAAATATTAAAACAATCACCACCACTCTGCTACAGTTTAAAACAATCACCAACACTCGGATACATATTAAAACAATCACCACCACTCTGCTACAATTTAAAATAATCACCACCACTCTGCTACAGTTTAAAACAATCACCACCACTCTGCTACATATTAAAACAATCACCACCACTCTGCTACAGTTTAAAACAATCACCACCACTCGGCTATATATTAAACAATCACCACCACTCTGCAACAGTTTAAAACAATCACCATCACTCGGCTACATATTGAAACAATCACCACCACTCTGCTACATATTAAAACAATCACCACCACACTGCTACAGTTTAAAACAATCACAACCACTCGGCTACATATTAAAACAATCACCACCACTCTGCTACAGTTTAAAATAATCACCACCACTCTGCTACAGTTTAAAACAATCACCACCACTCGGCTATATATTAAAACAATCACCACCACTCTGCAACAGTTTAAAACAATCACCACCACTCTGCTACATATTAAAACAATCACCACCACTCTGCTAAATATTAAAACAATCACCACCACTCGGCTACAAATTAAAACAATCACCACCACTCGGCTACAAATTAAAACAATCACCACCACTCTGCTACAGTTTAAAACAATCACCACCACTCTGCTACAGTTTAAAACAATCACCAACACTCGGATACATAATAAAACAATCACCACCACTCTGCTACAGTTTAAAAGAATCACCACCACTCTGCTACAGTTTAAAACAATCACCACCACACTGCTACATATTAAAACAATCACCACCCCTCTGCTACAGTTTAAAACAATCACCCCCACTTGGCTACATATTAAAACAATCACCACCCCTCTGCTACAGTTTAAAACAATCACCACCACTTGGCTACATATTAAAACAATCACCACCAACAAACTGTATCATTCTTACACAGTTGCATTTTATCTCCTTATAAAAATTAAAAATATAATTCATTGTAATTGTTTTACAATGGTCAGATAGATGTTTTTCAGTGGTCAGATAATTGTTTTACAGTGGTCAGATAATTGTTTTACAGTGGTCAGATAATTGTTTTACAGTGATCAGATAATTGTTTTACAGTGGTCAGATAATTGTTCTACAGTGATCAGATAATTGTTTTACAGTGGTCAGATAATTTTTTTACAGTGGTCAGATAATTGTTTTACTGTGGTCAGATAATTGTTTTACTGTGGTCAGATAATTGTTTTACAGTGGTCAGATAATTGTTTTACTGTTGTCAGATAATTGTTTAACTGTGGTCAGATAATTGTTTTACTGTGGTCAGATAATTGTTTTTCTGTGGTCAGATAACTGTTTTATAGTGGCTAGATAATTGTTTTACTGTGGTCAGATAATTGATTTACTGTGGTCAGATAATTGTTTTACTGTGGTCAGATAATTGTTTTACTGTGGTCAGATAATTGTTTTACAGTGGTCAGATAATTGTTTTACTGTGGTCAGATAATTGTTTTACTGTGGTCAGATAATTGTTTTACTGTGGTCAGATAACTGTTTTATAGTGGCTAGATAATTGTTTTACTGTGGTCAGATAATTGTTTTACTGTGGTCAGATAATTGTTTTACTGTGGTCAGATAATTGTTTTACTTTGGTCAGTTAATATTTTTTCTGTGGTCAGAGCGTTTATTTCAGCTATTTTTTTTGTTTTCTTTGCTTGTACCAGGCTTCCAAAAAGTTAATGTCGCGCTGGAAATTGTTCATAATTTTAACATTGTTTGCATATATTTCATTTGATCCTCTGCTGGTGTACCGACATTTTTTATAGACGAGAAAGACATGAGGGCTTACATTTCTTTGAAGTACTCGCATTGGCACTCGATAACTGTTCTGGTTAAATTTCTTGACAGATTCGACATTATTCTACTATTGGAGGGGGAAAAAAAAAGGGGGGGGGGCAAAAAAAATGCGTCTGTATTTCACCAAAAAGTCACGTGTTACGGAATTTGTTTAGAAAATAATTTTCAGGGTTAACGTAATTGCATAAGCCCGAGTTTGATGAGATTAGCTTCATACAACATATTTTATATTTAATTTTTGTGTTAGATGATTGTGTTTTTGTTATTGGGCTTGAAAAGACAACGTCTTAATCATTGCTCTTCTAAACAGTCGAGCTTTCTGCGCCTCTGTTTTCCTTCTATTCGTTGAGGTTATCGATTTGTGATTTTATCTCGAAATCAAATTTCATTAATTTTAAATTTATAAATTTTCAAAAATAAACAGCTTTTCTTGTTCTCTTACCCTTCAAAGAGAAAAAAAAGAGGTCATTTTGAATGAAATTGTTTTTCTGAGAGGGGAAAAAAAACACGTATATTTATGTATTCCCATTGATCTGGAGACGGTTGGGCATTATTAGATATCAGTCTGCCCCCCCCCCCCCGCACACCATTTTTCCGGCTCACTAACTATTAATGTATATTTAAGGGGAATCCTTCTCCCCATATTTCGTTATGGTGTGACTTTCGAAGTGACATGTCATGACATGCAATATCATATGACATGACACCAAATTTTACTTTTTACGTTGTCATTTAGTTCTTAGCACTACCCTTTCTTTTACATTTACAATTACATTCAATAAAGCACTTCCTATTACATGTAATGTTGGAGGCACAGAACTACACTATAATGAGGTTTATTCATTACCATTTCATTCGTCACATTCATGCTCACTTTGTTGTTGCTATCCAAAAGTATGTGATGTTACATCAAATTGTATTATTATTATTAGAAGTGGTTTTGTAAAGCGTGGTACCCTAGCCTAGGGCTGGGCTTACACCACGCTGTACATACGATTTAACAAACATAATCAAAAACTTCGACAACAAAAAAAAACATTTAACATACATTAATTAAATAAAACAAAACAAATGTATATTTAAAATTATTTACATCTCAAGCCATGGACAACACCCAGTAGCATCGTTTTCCGGTCAGAGTATCACAGTCTACAGATAAATTAAATTACAATTTTTTAAAATTTATTTTTGAAACATTGTTTCTTAATAATTTTTTTTAAAATATATATATATATATATATATTTAAAAGCTGTTTTTGTTTCAGATACAAAAGTTCATGAACTTCACCGAGTTCATCTCTCATATGGTAATATTGACGATGCCACTACTTTATAGTTCTTGGCTTTGTGAAGAATGAGATAAAAATATTCAACTTTGTCAATTGTCTTGAATATACTTGAATTTTGGAATAATTCACATAGCAGAAGTCTACTACTTCGTATATGTCTTTGTGCTAGGAAATTATACAACTCTACTATTTTATTTACTGCAATTTTGTTTGATTTAAAAAATTATTTTAAAAAACTCAAGTCTTCGAAAACATCCTCTAAGTTTTTCATGACTTATTCGTCAATTACTTGTGCCAACAATTTAGAGCCATGTTTTTAGATGGTTGTTGAGGACGGGTTGGCATTCGGCTTGTGTCATAATTTGATAATTAGATACTTTCCAATACACTGACAACGGAGAACCTAAACACGAGTCTCAAGCTCCAGCCACACAGAGAGCTGATGACGATGACAGCATGAACGTCTCAGTAGTAGATTTTTTTTTTCTTTAGTCATATTAAAATAATCAATAAAATCGAAGTCTTGTGTAGGCCCACTTGAATCTGAGCACAAGAATGAGCCGAGCCGTTTCAGATAACGGCTACTGTATTAAACACAGGTCCATGACCTTGCTGGCAAAGGTGGGTGTCACATTGGTGACTGCGGGTTCAAGGACAGCCTTGACAAGATCGGAGATTCCATATTGCGTTCGTGCCGAGCATTCGACGTAGGCAGAGGTTCTCTGACTGTGGAGCAACAGTGTATCAAAGATTCAATTGGTTCCTTTTAATCTGTCTCTAAAGACCTCTAAACAACGCTACGTGATATAAATCAGGGTGATTTTTTGTTTGTGTGTTCATCAAGACTACTTTATAGTAGAAATGCCGTTACAGTTGCTTATTATTTAACAAAATAATTAAAGGACGCTTTTAAGGTTTCCATTTGTTAGTGGTATGTTGGTACATGACTGATTGTGGTCTTCAACCCAATAACCAGGCAGAGATAGCGTTGACACTCATGTATTTTGTTTTATTGATACATTCATATTTTTTTAAAGTCAAGAAATATCCTTTTGTTGTTATTATACTTTGCCAGATCTTATATGATTTTTTAAAAAATAGGAGGGTTTGCGATATCTTGAATAAATGTTTTAAAAAACATGAACATAATGTTACCAAAACATTCCTTTTAAAAAGAGCATAACCGTCATTTCTACTGTAAAAAATTAATATCATTATTTAAAATACTTATTTAAAAATGACTTTTTTTTTCATTTCCCTTGAACATAGAAATGTAATGGGGCATTCAGTCTATTTGAATCGAGTTGAAAGTCTTAGGCTGAAATACATTATAATACACATGTAAAATAATGAAAAGCTAGTAGAATAAGTCATCTTCAGAGTTGGGATTTTCTTTTTAGAGTTAGGCGTTATCAAAACAGTAATTTATTATTATAATTTTTTTTTTTGTGTAGATTTGGAAACCTTCAAAATAGTTAATGAAGTTTGATGATTGATAGGTTCCATGCCCACAAAATAGTTAATGAAGTTTGATGATTGATAGGTTCCATGCCCACAAAATAGTTAATGAAGTTTGATGATTGATTGGTTCCATGCCCACAAAATAGTTAATGAAGTTTGATGATTGATAGGTTCCATGCCCACAAAATAGTTAATGAAGTTTGATGATTGATTGGTTCCATGCCCACAAAATAGTTAATGAAGTTTGATGATTGATAGGTTCCATGCCCACAAAGAAAACCTTCTCTGTTCTTTATCATGTGACAGTTTCCACTCAGACTTCGCTCTGCTCCAAATCCAAGGAGTTCTGTTGATTTCATTTGTCATTTTCTCTGGTGAAAGGCTTTTGACCGAAACTTTCGTTGTCTTTTTTTTGTTTTTTTTTTCATGTTTCCTTTTCCATAGTTTACCCTTAACTTGTGTTCTTTCTATCTTTGTCTTTTAAAGTAATCTCAGAAGCCACCCGCACAGGGCTACCACTCAATTGCTTTATACTTCCCGAGATTTTGTCAAAATATTTCCCAAGATTTCCCAAGATCATGAAAATATATAAGAGTTGTTTTTTTTTTAATCTTGGGAATTTAAAAAAAAATAATTGAGTTTTGGTCCTGAATAGGGTAGTGAATTCCCAAGATTTTGGGGAAATTCGCACCCTCTAAAAAAACCCATATTCTTATAGATATTTTATGGTATGTCGAAGAATTTATGTATTCCTATTTATTGGACACACATGTTTATAAAATCGATCCGGCTTATGGAATCTGATTGACCTAGATAGATATGAACTATTTAAAAGAGGGTTTAACTGTGATCAAGCTTAAATAAGATAAACACACAAGCCGTCTGTGTAAATAACAGTAGGTTAGACTTTGATTAAAAGATCACATTTTTAAAAAAATTTAAAAAAAAAACATTTGACCTTAAAAGAAAAGTAAATTAGACTTTGTACAGATTTCTTAAGAAAAACGTCTGACAGACTTAGGATTCAACTTAACGGTCGTGTCTCATGTATCGATTAGTCGTTTCCAGTCAATTACTTACCTGTCAGCCATGGTTCTATCATAAGCTCTGGCCAGCGCTGAAGAGTTTGGCGCTCTCCCTAGGTCACATTTGGTCCCCACTAAAATGAGACGTGAGTTGGTGAACAGAGTTTTCAGCTGAAATAAAAAACATCACTCTTAAAAATAATATTTGTGATAATCACCAAAAAATATTACTTCTTCTTCTTCTTCTTATATTTGAGTGGCCCACGATCAATTTGTTGATCATTCTGGCCCCTGGTTTTAATTCAGATTTTGCATTTCGATGTAACAGTTCAAGTATTGTCAATGTAAGACTTCTGATATTTCAATTTACGAGTTTAAATATATCAATTTAAGTTTTGATATATTTTAATGTACGATTTAAAATATGTCAATGTAATATTTCAATGTATTTAAATGTATTAAAAAAATGGTTAGGCTACAGGAGCGGTTCTCAACCTTTGGGGATCTAACGACTCTTTCCCAGGGGTCGCCTGGGATCACTTGAAAACACATATATTCTACAGTTATGGAGAAGAAACGAAAATAATTTTATCGTTGGGCGCTCACCACAACATGAGGAACTGTATTAAAGGGTCGCGGCACTGGGGAGGTTGAGAACCACTTGGCTACAGTGACCATTTTTTCATAATTTTTATTTTCAAATTTTAAAATAAATCCAAATGCTTGCTTGATACGTGCGATTCTCTTGAAATACAATTTACATTGAATTACATGAACCACCATTTTTTTTTTCACTTTAACATTATCTAGTGATTATTTAAATGGTAGATTTGCTTAAAATAGTTTATTCTTTCCTTAACTCTTTTTGACACACGGAGATTTAAAAAAAAATTACAATTAAATAAAGGAAATATACAGACCTTATGGACCCACAGTTCCATTCTGGTGACTCCTTGTGGGTCATTGACGCCAATACACAACATTATCACGTTGACTTCTTGGTGTCCTATCGCTGAATTGAGATCCGTCTCGTCCATAACTTCCAATACGATTTCGTGCTGAGAATACACAAGAAAATTTTTTCGTTGTTTTTTTTTTTTTTTTGGTGTGGTTTTTGTATATACTCAGCCACAGCGAACTGGCCAGGTAGGTTAACATTCTAAATATGAGCCAGCAGCAAACTGGCAAGAAATGTCATCATTCGCTGAGCTCAGTAGCGCATTAAAATAAACCGCACTCATCAGTGCGCCCATTTGTGTTCAATAGGTGCACACCATAAACTGGGATGCTCTAAAACACTGACTGGGTGTCTTATTTGACGGAAATTGACTCTATTTAAATCTGATCAAATAAATAGGATTGTTTTTTATGTCTGGGTATACATATTTGGTTCTAAGTATTATTTTTATTGGGACTCTTATAAAATGCGTTACTTGAACGCATGTTTTATCAATTAATTTTTAGAAGTTGGGACATTCACATATTGCCGCCACCAGTGTATGGCGGGCTAGTTCCAATCGCTCATTACAATTAAGTTTTGATAAAATAAAAAGACTAAAGTACTAAACACGGTGTTAAGTTTCTTTTCATCTTTCTGTTGTCCTAGCTGTGACACGCTTTGGCCTAAAAGTGAAATTAATTGAAACATACTAGTCACTGCATAATATATTTCGTGAGATTGTGTTTTCATAACTTCGTACATGATACTAATTGAAACATTACTAGCCTCTACATTACATTTCGCCATATTGTGTTTCTATAACATCTTATATGATATTAAATGAAACATACTAGCCGCAACATTAAATTTCGCCAGATTCTGTTTCCATCACATCTTACATGATATTAATTGAAACATGCTAGCAGCTACATTACATTTCACCAGATTCTGTTTCCATCACATCTTACATGATATTAATTGAAACATGCTAGCCGCTACATTACATTTCACCAGATTCTGTTTCCATTACATCTTACAAGATATTAAATGAAACATGCTAGCCGCTACATTACATTTTGCCAGATTCTGTTTCCATCACATCTTACATGATATTAATTGAGATACCTGTTCTGCACCATCGGTCACGTCAAAAACTTGGGGTTGAAAGACAATTGGAACATAGGTATCTGGAAAGGGCTTCTTGGTCAGGATGAGGGCCAGGCATGTCTTCCCGCTGGACTTTGGACCTGCAATGATGACCTTCGTCCTTGGCATTATGCTGCGTTGGTCTTATTTAGAATCTGAGCAACTACCGAAAATTGTGAGAAAAAAAAGATATTGTAATAATTTTATGACATGTTATATTTTATCTTATTATTTGGCACCTTCCCTTCTTGGGCAAAAGTCTACCTCATTTTATTGCAATTCTATTAATGTTTTGAACTTAAGCACATTTCTTACGAATTGAATCAAACTGTCAAATATATAAATATATAATGAAAATGTTATAGATTTATACAATTATAGACCTTTATATAGATTAATTTGGAAATAATTAAAATGTTTTTTTTGTAAATGTGTTTTTACTTTTGATTCAATCAATTTTCATTCAAATCAAGAAATGCTGTAAACAAAGAGGACAACCTGGACTCGAACCCGGGTCTTATGTGTGGAAGTCGATTGAAATGACACATTTTGTGACAAGTTTTGTGACAGAGATTAAATACTTTTATATCAGTCTTTATTGTTAAGAAGAATTTCAAATGTGTATCTTATTCACACGATGAAACTACTAATTTTATTGTGCCTAACATTTATATGTCACACACCTTTATATATGAGAACACCATCATTGGTTTGAACACATATTCTCACATAATAATGAAAAAATAACACATAACCAAAATCATGTGTCTATGCTTTTGATTTAACACGCGAGTTAAAAAAAAATATCTATCTTTATTATGTATTTGTCCTAGATGATCATGAAAAGACATAGGAATTATGTGAAACTGTAAGTTCATGTCTAGTTAAGAATAGTGAAAGTAGTATTTTCCTCCGCCATTCAGACTGTAACAGAAAAGGTTAAGGTCATTCGCTGTAACCTTANCGTGACCATGTCTGTCCCCCTCCTCCAGTCCCCCCCCCCTTTGATGACGTAATGCCTTAAAGAACCCCCCCCCCCCCGCGTCAACCACGACGCTAAAAGACTCCTCCAAACAATCGGCGGGAGTCGCGGGATGACCATGTATCTGAGGAAATTTGCAAACGTCACGTCACCCTTGTGGGGTGTTCGGAGAAAATTGCATTACGTCGTACACTCGAACACATTCAATGCATTGGAGCCCAACACACGCCCCAAACCAAATCACGCCCCTCCCCACCCCCTGAGGTGATAAGCCCGAGAGACACACACATGGCTTATTCAAATATTTGTGCCTACAAAAACTGTCCACGCCAGTTGAAATGACACAAACATGTGGCTTTGGTCTTGATCTCTATTAATGTGTAAAGCAGCGGTTCTCAACCCGCCTAATGCAGCGACCCATTAATACAATTCCTCATGCCTGTGGTGACCTCGAACCATAAAATGATTTTCGTTGCTTCTTCATAAATATGTTTTCCCCATGGTCTTAGGTATGTAAGGGGTCGTTTGACCCCCCCCCCCATGTTGAGACCCGCTGGTTTAAAGGAATACCAAAATACGTGATGTCAATCACGTACTAACTAACGCACATATTCTGGTGAAGGTCTGAGATTACTCTCTTATGAACCCGGCTAGTAAATTGGCTATCAACTCCATCTGTTGAGCTGAGCCATACAACATTTCCCTCACAAAGGATCCTCCAACCGCCCTGGCTTCCCCCGGGAGATCTAGTGCGGGACATTCAGTCAACAGATTACTTCTGCCTGAAGTGGTCCGCCAGCCAGTTTTTGACTCCCAAGAAAGTCATTGGTACTTCTGGCTGAGGCTGGGCAGCCCCGGTTTTCGCCAGAGTGTCAGCTATCTCATTGCCACTGATGTTGACGTGCCCTGGTATCCATTGCATTTCGACCTTGCACCCTATTTCACCAAGTCTGCATATGTCGTTAAGAATGACGTCGACCAAGCTTGTGGTACCCTGCCTCTTCTCCAAGATCTCGAGAGCAGATCTTGAGTCTGAGAAGACAACAATATCAAGCCCCGCATGTTCCGTCCCTTCCGGAGTGATATGGACTCTCTCCAGGGCCTTGTGCATAGCTATAAGCTCCGCGTCAAAGTTTGACGCTGTAGTCCCACAAGGCCCCGAGAGTTTTACATTAGGTGGTCCACCTACTGGGTACTGAATAAGCGCACCGTACCCAGCAGTTCTTTTTCTAAGGTCGGCAGAGCCGTCCGTGAACACTTTCACAGGTATGTGCGTAAACACATCCATGGTCTCAAGGGCAGCCACTCTCTGTACATGTTCAGGGCTTCGCTTCGTCACTGCTGCATCTGTCAAGGCCAAATGTATGGAGGGACGTGAGGGTTCCGCATAAGGCGGATTAACTGGGATTTGGGTCAGACGTTCTCTATTTGGGGGCAGGGGGACTGTCCTCTCCAGCTCCACGACCTGGTGCATGAAAGAGGACCTCTTTAGTCTCCTGCCACCCACCCAGTTATTTTGCATTTGAAAGGCTGGTTCATTTTCACCGAGCCGTCGGTACCTCTCTACGGTATTTAAGATGGATTTTTCCCTCCTAATTTGTAGCGGTTCTACATTGGCCAAGACTTCTACAGCAGCTGTGGGAGTAGTCCTGTATGCGCCACAGATGAATCTCAGTGCCTGATTCTGGATTCGGCCCAGTTTTTCCAATGCGGTCTTGCTTGCAAAGGATTGGACTGGCATGCTGTAGTCCATCACCGACCTTACACTGCCTAGAAAGAGAGCTCTAAGCGTACTTGCGTTTGCGCCCCAACTTGTGCAAGCCTCTCTTCTTCTCTCTAGGTTCTCTCTTCTTCTCTCTTTATCTCTCGCTCTCTCTCTCTCTCTCTCTCTCTATCTCTCTCAATCTATCCATCTATCTCTGTTATCCTGCCTCTCTCTTCCTTCCCCTCTATCTCTCTCTCTCTCTCTCTCTCTCTCTCTCTCTCTCTCTTTCTCTCTCTCCCTATATCTCATCATTAGTTCCATACAGGGAAGGGAAACGTCTGACATGCCTTAGAATAAGCTACACATTCATAACAAATGACACGTGATTTCCTTCAGGTCATGGCCCACACGGGCTAACAGGTCCATGAAGAGAAAAAGATAGCTAGGCTACATGACGAATATGTACCTGGCCGCCCAGTATACGTAAATTATGTCAGTCACTCGGCTGAACAACTTCCTGAACTGCTCCCGTCGTGACATAATTCGGCATCGTACCCTCCAAGGGTTGATTCACTTCACTAGTCATTGACAAGGATATTGGAATTAAGGTCTTTCGGGTATTTGTTCGCTTTGTTCGTGTGTGTCTGGCAACATTTTCGGAGCTAAATGACCCACTTCCCCCCTTCAACCCATAGTTCAGGAGAAAGATGAATGACATAATATGTTTTTTGTTCGATGGGTGCGTGTTTTAGTGTGGTGATTAACTGTGCAGCTACTGCTATGTGCTTTGTATTCCTTAACGTATTTGGGTTTAAATATATCTTTAGCCTATTCGGTTTTTACATGGACCAAGTTTTGGTCAAAACCATTCCATGCCAAAAAAAAAGAAAAAATCAAAAAAATCAGTTGCTACAATGCCAAAAATGATGAATCACGTACAAGTACATACATGCATGGACACAAAAATGATGAATCACGTACAAGTACAATGTGCATGGACACAAAAATGATGAATCACGTACAAGTACATACATGCATGGACACAAAATTGCATATAAAAGATTTATGCGAAAAACTTTGTTTTTATGGTTTGTTTAATGAACCACATACGACAGTGACTTATTTGTGTCATGGATGCTGCAGTTATTTTGTGCTCAGATCAATTCACATCTATAAATAGAGTAATTGCGGATATTTCCGTTAAAATGACCAAACCTTGTTACTAAAAATAACGACTCTGAGAGCATTTTTAAAAAAAATGAAACCATTTTAACATCTTGAATCCTTA